GTAGCGACACCGCGGACACCACGTGGTGTGGGTGCAGTGCCGGCCCTAGAGGGGCCCGGTGAGCGCTGAGTGACAGCGCTGGATGGCACCACGCTTGGCGTGCAGTGCCAGCCCCTACAGGACAGGGTGAGGGAGCGCCGGCCGTAGGAACGGGGTTACTAAAGGCCATGGCACTCTGGTTGACCCGGGAGGACACGTGACCGGTTAAGTCTACAAAGGGGCCCCAAGTAGGGGCTAGGGGTGGTCACGTGGTCGGGGTCGAGATCTTTCTCGAGGATTCTAGAAGGTGGGCGTGGCCAAGAGCTAAGCCGGCCACGCCGCAGAGAATATGAGCCGGGTCCCCCAGAGGGACCGGCGCTGTTGTTCATCCTGAAAAAAACCTTCGTCTACGTTCTATGTTCTACCCAGTCTCCAACACGTGGACCTGGACCCGAGCTAGGGTCCCGGTCCATAGTAGCAGTTACGGTGTAATTAGTGCAGTTAGCCTGGTGGTCACCACCCAGTTAACTACACCAGTTACGTTGTAATGAGTGCAGTTCGCCTGGTGGTCACCACCATAGGTTGTTATTCTGTTAAGGGGCAGCTACCCCGTGTGTTGGTGTTAAATAAATGTGTTGCCTTCAAGAGTACGTCTGCGACTCGGTTGAACTCACTACACATATACTGTCTTGACGAATCCACGGTCACGGATTTGACACGGGCGATGCGAGCTTGACAGCGAAGTGAGATTGAGCGTGCCACCCCACACTGACCGTGAAAGAACATCCAGCCAACTATTAGCAAAGCCAAACCGGGAAGATTTCATGCGAAATGTTGTGATTGTCAGGTGTGCGTGCGTCTCGTGCCTGTGATTTCGTTACCGTAGAAATGATCCCCAACAGCAAACAATGCATCAATCAAGAACGCCGTGAACTTACTTCGCTTATGATGATGGCAGTGATCCCCACCCCACCTCGCCCGGGGGAGGGGGGGGGGTGCCTGCGCTGGTTTGTCGCTCGTGCCATTCGAATGACCTCAGCACGGGGACAAGTGCTGCCGTGCCGCGCCCTGCGGCGCTAGTTGCCGCCACCCGGCAACTTCGCGGCCCTCGCCTCCACGTGGGAACCGGCGACCAACGACGATGCACGCGTCGCGGACGGGATCCCACCCTTCCGCTCGTGCGCGCGATGTGCGACCCGCTTGGGAGCTGAGTGCCAACGTCGAGGGCCCCTGCCGCTAGCACGCGAGAGGTATTCGGGAGGGAGCGGGGAGTTCGTGGTTGTTTTGCCGTTCCAGTTGAAGGGGGCACAGACCGAAACGTCGTTCGACTGCACGGTCCACGGTTTGGGTTTTGCACGGCCACAATTTGCACCGCCGCTGCTGCTCGTGTCTTTAATTGTACAACCCACGAAGGAGACGTTCGTCTCGGCCTGTTGGTGTTACAACCAGCGTCTTCGAATGAGGGTTACACCGGCGGTGTCTTCGATGAATGTCAAATCCACTTGGTTGCGATGTTTGGATCTTGAATGAGGAGGTGTTAAATTCGGGACGTCCGCGTTCGTTCCACTCTATTCGCCAGCGTTCTTTCAGATCCGTTAGTAACGTGATGACTGCACTCTGCGTCTCGTATGTAAACATTGTTTATACGTACACACACACATATATATACCTATAAAGGCCATTGACTGTGTATAGGCTGGTCCAGATGTCTTGTGCCCCCCACAATACATCTGGACTGCCCTGCACACGCTCACGGGAACGTGGACTCCCAATTGCGTGCGTGATGTATGCTGCTATTACAGTGCGTGAGTGCAGAGGCTGGGCAGGCATGACGTCACGTGTCATTTGGCCGGGGGAACACGGCCCGGACCCTGAGTGTCCACTGTGCACCCCCCACGAACCCCCCCACTACCCCCCCCCCCCGCACAGCCCGGACCCTGGGTGCCCACTGTGCACCCCCCACTACCCCCCCCCACAGCCCGGACCCTGGGTGCCCACTGTGCACCCCCCACTACCCCCCCCCACAGCCCGGACCCTGGGTGCCCACTCTGCACCCCCCACGACCCACCCCCAACGCCGCTCCGTGGATGAATGAATGAATCTCAAAGCCACGTGAACCCGAAGCTCTGCACAGTGATGATGTTCGTGTGCGTATCTTTTCTAATAGTGCGTGTCATTGTCTTTTGTAATGCTTGGGGGTTGCTCGCTAACAGCACTTTCCCCCACAGTCTGTTAAGGCTATACAGAGGACCTTTGTCTCTGTTTGTAATATTTGCGGGGAGCGGTCAGCGCGCTGCGCTACGAACTCGGCAACCCGAGCTCGAGTCCTGCTCACGGCCAACACCACGGTGACGATTATCCCAGCCGGTCCTGGGCCTCTCCTAGGTCAACTCAGCCTCAAATGAGTGCACGGTGTGGTGTGTAAACGTCAATACTGGGAAGACAAGGCGGCCGGGCGTCGTGGCCTCTACCCCCACACCGCCGTGTGCTTTGTCGGCCTTCAGAGGTGCTCCTTGACAGTGCCCACAAGCCCGTTAAATGCCTTTGTCTTTCTTAGGGCGTATTTTTGTCTGATCTTACACAAATTAAACAATTAAATATTGCACATCTGTATAACTGTATCACCGAGTTTCAATTTACTTTATATACACATGTGTGGTGTCAAACGATTTACCCCTGTATCTGTTTTATATAAGAAAAAACGGTATATAGTAATAAATACATTATTAGTAAGAGGTCGACGGGGTTTCGCCTGCTGACTATCTTATCGTCGGATCCCACGTGAGACAAAGCCTCTTGGATGGTGACTTTGTAAGAGTTTCAGCACGAGACTTCGAGCAGTGGAGAGGTTCATCCTGAACCTGCCCTGTGAGTGAAAATGTTGGTGTCCAGATGTTATTGCAGTCACAAACGTCTCGTTTTATTTTAGTGCCACGTGTCCGTTCTACAAACATTGTGAAACACAACGAGAAATTACATCGCTCCGTCACGAGAATGTGTAAGACATTCGCGTAAGACATTTCTGTAACAACCGATTTGTACCCGAGGGTACTGAATGTACAAAACACGAGTTTATGCATTTTCCAAAACACAATTATTGTATCGCATGCGTTTGGCTCGTCCTGTCTCTAACCCTAATGGTTGCAATAATTTGTTAAAATTAACAGCGAGACTCGACGGGGCTTTTATTTCTCCGCACAGTCCAGACGAGGCATGAGTCACACGGAGAGCGGCGGCGCAGTGCGCAGTCATCGAGTCGTCTTGTCTGGAGTCTAAATGACATCACACGGAACGCCCTTTTAGTCGCTTATCAGCAGCACGAGCTCTGATAAAAGCTTGCACTATCTGGACAAAATATGATATCAGCAGAAGTGACACTGTGGCCAGAGCGATGGGTTCACAATTAGAAGGGTTTGCCAATTGAGTTGACTCAAAGCCCATCATCCTTATGGGGTCGATAAAGTAATTACTACTTTGTTGGTGGTTGTCCTTATGGGAGACACTGGCGCCATGGGAATGTAGAATATCCACCACTGGCTCAGTGATGGCAATTGGATGCAATGGCTGAGATTTGTCAAGCCTCTTTGGATAAAATTAAATGTCAATGCGCTCTCATACACAGTGAACTAACTTACCTTCGACAGAACTCGATAGAAACATGTTAAGAGTCTGGCCAATCTGCAAGGTATTGTTTGAGGACGTGGATTTACCACTGTAGTTATTCTGACCTAAGTGCGTTGATGAAAGCCCAGTCTGAAACGTCACCTACTTAAGGTCTTTTTTTATTGACGAATATTTTCGTGTTTTTGTCTTTTGTGGTCATGCACCCACTGTCAACGCAGTGCCACCAAATACTGCAATCTATGAACACCGGGTGAGTGAGTGAGTGGCCGTTGAAACCATCCCCATTATTGCAATTCACCTCGCCGAGTTGAGATTGCAAACGCGCAGTGCACTGCAAATCATGTAAATGCTTGCGTTGGCACGAATATCTCTGTTCTGTGCCTCACCCTTAGACATTTAACCCCATAATGTGATGTTTACTGCCTTCCACCAGTACACGTTGTCTTCTTTTACAAGATTAACCCCAAAGCAAATACTGTATAGCCATTGTAATGTGCACGGTACTGTGCCGGTAAATAAGTGTTTACTCAGTCTGTGTGTGTGTTTTGGAGTGTAATTGTGGGGAGCCAACACCAGTGACGATTATCTGAAACGGTCCTGGGCCTCCCCTAGGTGGACTCAGCCCCAACAGTCTGTTAATGCTATACGGAGGGTCTTGTATTGTAATTGTTAGATTTGGAATGTCGCTTAACGGAAACACGATGAATCTTGACTTAAAGCTTTCGTGACCGTCGACGTGACTTTACCGAAAGACCCAAAGAATATGAAACACGATGGTGGCACGTTATTTATATGAGTTATTATTGGTGGCGAGGTGGTCTCACTGGTGAATGGTGAATCGAAACACCGGCACATGCTGCACACATTCAGGGAGGCGAGGGAAGGGGGCCGCAATTGCCAATCATCATGAGATTCACAGTCACCATCATCCAATCACCACCATCATCCCAGTTACCCTCATCAACATTTAGAGACGGCGTCTCCGCCTAAATCGTTCTCAACTGCATCATTCATCATCATAAATTGGCACGTCTATCATCATGAAGCACATTAACCGCACCTGTGTCCCGGTACGACACGCTAACGATACTATTGCCATTTAAAAAGTAACGTAATTTCACGTTTAATACGGCGCAGCCGGATGATCGTGCGTAGACAATAGCGAGAGCCGAGTACAAGGCGGTGCGCATTGCTGAGTGCGCGGACGCAAGCCGACCGAGTGAGTGGTGGGGAGCGAGCGACGCAGAGACACCAATAATAATTCTTCTTCTGTGTTTAATGTTAATTCAGTGGGGTTCTCTCAGGCCCGCCCACTCGCGTGCAGCATAAATTGTGGCGTGTCCTGCAACTGCTGGCATAGCCTCATGACAAGCAGCAGCAGCAGCCAAGAGCGAGGGCTCACACCTTCACAGACACACAATCTTCGGTCACCAATCCTTCCTTCATCCGCCACCGCATTATCTTCCTTCCGTCGACTAAATATCCATTCCCTCGTTTTTCCGCTCTCTCTCTCTTCACCGCTACTGGCTGGAAGGGAAGTTGCGTTTGAGTTTGTGGGGGAGGCTTGTTTCAGCTCTCTCTCTCTGTGCGTTCCTTGGGCTCTCTCTTCTGTTATAATTTTTTTTAAAGCTCGGCACACGGACCGGGGAGGGGTGGAGGGAGACGGACGGCTAAGAGCCCCACCACCACCGCCACCACTCCGACACGCCAAGTTCCAACTCGCGGAGTAGCCGTCTGGCTCTGGCCACTTTTTAACTTCACATCGTCACCATCCTCGTCTGTAGCGCCGGGTGATGCAACAGCGTACAAGGTCTGTATCGGGGTTCGTGCGCTTGTTTAGGGCGTTGGCGTTTAAAGAGCGTGCGAGTGTGTGAGTGTGTGTGTCGTGTGTGTGTCGTGTGTCGCGTGTGAGTGTCGCGAGCAGTGACGCAGTGGTAGGCGCACTTTGCCATGCAACTTTTGCCACCCGAGTTCCAGTCCCGGCCTCTGCTCCGTCGCAGCGGTTGCCGCGTTTAGAACTTTGACTGGGAGACCGCTAGGTTGACTCGGCAGTTAAAACGAGAGTTGCCCGCCCACCGGTGCGGTGTGTGACATAATCAGGCGCCGGGGATACGAAGGCGGTCGGGGCGGGGTGCTTCTCTCCGCCACTGGCCTCTGTCGTGCGCGCTGTCCGCCTTAAGAGATGCTCTTGAGCACTTGGCCGCACGGTCCGCGTGACGCTACACGGGGGATCTTTGTCTTTGCATGCGTGCTCCTACTGTATTGCACAAACACGTGTGCGCAGTGCGGAGAGGCTTTGCAGATGCAGCCGTGCGGCTCGAGCGGGGGGCGTTGCGCTTGGGTCCCTGCGACCCGAGTTGGATTCCTGGCGGGGGGATGCGCGCACGATGCAGTCTGCGGTGGAAAGTGGGAGCCGAAAGCGGTCTGTGCCGCGTCTAGGTCGTCTTGGGCTAAAAACCAAAAAGCGATGCAGTGGCTACAGTTCTTGATGCCGGCTGCGTGTTACTCGGCGGATTGAGTGCTGCTGCTGCTGGTTGTGGTTGTGTGGCCACCGCCTCTGCTCCAGACTCGTTCGTGGGTGCGCGCAACGGCGGTCGCTCCGATGGTGGTGGGGTCCACCAGGCCAGCGAAGGGGGCGATGCGCTGTGTGCCCAATGCAGGACGAGCATGGTCGTGGCGCATGCACGGAGTGGTTTTTATTTCCTCCTAAAACCTTGCCCGGGTCGCTGTTAGCCTCGGCGTGTGACCTGGCAGTCACGTCCATAGAGAGATACTGGATGCGCTGTGACCGGGAACGCATCTGAACGGTCACAGACCCGGCCTAAATTAATCTGTGCATGTTCTACACAAAGGTGATCGGTGGGTTCCATGTGCCACTGGTTCCCCAGTAGTCTAAATTAATATGTGCATGTTCTACACAAAGGTGATCGGTGGGTTCCATGTGCCACTGGTTCCCCAGTAGTCTAAATTAATTGTCGCGAGTCTTGTTCACCGATTTTCCTTGTCATTACATACTCGGAAACGGAACGTGTTCCTAATGTTGGTGTCTGCCAGGCTGTTATAAATGCACGTGTCTTCGTGTAACATGCAGTGCGGTGGGTGCCAGTGTTGTGCACAGGCAAGTTGGTGTCGTGTGGGTGCGCGACGGCGCCTCCAACATCTCCAGTAGACCCACGTCGGACCCATTCACTTATTCAATATCCCCGCTTGCTCGACTCGTGGCGTGGGTGCTAGTTGTATACATCGCTGTGGTGAATGTGGTGACGGCTTTTACAAGTGCATTGCAGTCCGCCCAATGAATGCGCACATTATTCAAATTCCAGAGCGAGCTGCGTGTCCATTGCAGAGGGTCGCGTGTAACTTTGGGTTTGAGTATACAGTGTTGCGTTGCATATCTTGACACTGTACACCACGTGGCATGTCATGAACGTGCAGTGGTCGCCGTGTGCCACTGCCCAATGCTGCATCACCCGCTAAGCGCGAGTTGTTGATCCCCTTATTGTAGCCTGCCGCGTGCCACCCTTTTGCTTGACATGACCATTGCTGTCCCTATACAGCAGTGGTTGTGCCCCACATTCAGGCGCCCTGGGATAAAAATTCCTCCAGCCCATATGATTACCAAGACCACCACCCTCCTTACCCTCGCACCCACTGTCCTTGGCGTATGGGTTCTTTAGCCGTAGGGAGATTCGAGGCGGCGTTCCTCCTTCACGGCAACCTCGACGGTGTTTCGGGTGCCACCACCACCACCACCTGGGACGTGAGTGCTACGTTGCTGTGGTGGGCCCCCAGGTTGTGGAGGTCGGTCTCGTGTATGCTTAACTTCGTTCGCACCGTACCTAGCCAACCGTGATAATCGGAGGTGTGGGGGAAGGACAACAAGCTCTTGGACAAATGTTATTCTTAGTTTGCTTATGAATGTATCTTAAGTGTCCCCAGTTCGTTTTGTTCCTCCGTTGGCTCGTCCTGCCACCTGCTTATTGTTAATGTCTCCTTTGTCGTTCATGACATTTTGCCAGTGAAAGGCCCCTTGAGTGAAAGTCGTCATTGGTCCTCTACACGCAACTTGGGGATTGCTGTGTGGCCTTGCATAAGCTAATTCTAACGACGTCTGAAAATTGTGCAACTCGTCGGACAGAAAGTGCGTGCAGGCTGCAAGCAATGCTACCGATACGACGCTCACAAGGTGCTTTCTAGACCCCAAATTGTGCGATAGTGATTCCTAATGTTGGCTCACGACTACCAACCCTGCCTTGCATGTCACGGTGTTGCCGTATTGCTTGCACGACTCGGCACAGCCCTTATCTTTTGGACTAACATCTCAACAGAGTCAAACATTGTGGCCACCTTTTGACACCGCTGTAAGCATGAGGGTGGCGAGAGAGCTGTATATACCGGTGTCACCCTTGGTTGGAATTATTGGTGCAGAAGTCTATCCATTGGCTACGGCTGCTACTGCTGCCTTGTGCCTCGGCAGTGTTATGTTGACGAGCCCTCCCTGGTCACTGGGGACATGCTGTTCGGCACCGCTAATGGTTTGTACGTGCACGCCACACAGCGCAATGCTTTCTGGATCGTGTGCCACTGAGAGGTCGTGCCGGTCACTTCTCTCCCCACTGGCCTGCGTTTTGGTGGAGGGAGTCGTCGGCGCTCTGAGAAAGTGACCCGTCAGGTTACTCGTTTAAAAAAAAAGACGTCACGTCTCTGCGGAGCTCCCCACTTGGTTATAAATGAAGGTCATGAATCAATGAAGGATGCCTTGGGGGGCGGGGGGGGATCTATGAGCTAATCTTGGGCGCTCGGGGAGACGGCATGTTTTGTTGCTGACAAAACTATGTTTGGGTTTTTTGTATAGTACTGAAGTGTCCTTTAAACCGCACTTTCATTGGACAAGTATGCAAACTTTCACTTCGGTGCAATAATGCACCATTTAAACGTGGTTTATATTCCAGTCTCAAAAGGCATTTAAACCAGGTGGGTGTTCCTAGTGACATAGATCTTTCAAGGGAAGCCTGGACTGAAGCAATCCCCCAGGTATGCCATATTTCTGGCTTAAAGCGCGCTTTTAACTCGTTGAAGCTGCGTCTCATCTGATCGCAGTGCAGTGACCGCTCACATGTTTGGAGTGAGTGGGTTCCGGAGCGCCGTGTAAGCCGGAGAATGCGGTCGGTGCTGTGATCTTGAGATGAGGCCCTTATCTGAAATTATTTTAATGTGATCCTGAATTTGCTTGCAAGATTGCATTTCAATGCTTCCTTACCAGGTAAAGAGAAATAATTGGGTCCTAAACATTGGGGATACATTTATCTCTCGTTTTTTCTATGGCCGGTAGAGTCCTGTGTACTAGGTTGAGTGACTTTTATAACTGGGTGAGGGACTCGGTCTGGGGGGGTATGCTTGCAAATTAAAAAATTGGGTACAACAAAACAAGTAATATTAAAATCTTGAAACCCAAAAGATAACACATTGGTACTAAATGAGATACGTAGTGGAAAATGTTAAGGAGTAATACTGAATGTGAGAGCTGAGGTGTGAAGTTGGACCACAATTCGATGATCAAAAGCATTTGGTTGTCAAAGGAAATATGGCTGCAAACAACCGCACCATTTACTTTATCCATTCAGTGCGATAAATGATCCGCAGCCAGGCAATGAGAGGCAATGTCTCTTCCCAATTGGGATCATGAAGTGGGGAATTTAGCCAGGAACTAAACATCGGTCTGACCGATTGTCGAGGCTTGTGGCATTCCGGAGAAATGTGAGACGTGGATAAGCGTGCACGCAGATGTCCCTCGTCCAGGTCTGTGAGTGAGGGGGGAGGGTGCAGACACCTCCCGATGTGACTACATTTTCAGCGTTTATTTGTTTAACGCTCCCTCCCCTCCCCTCCGCCGTTTTGGCCGCTAATCGGCGTTTGGATCTCAGTCTTGCACTGCCGTGACCTCGCGTGCGGCGGCTGCGCCGAAACTCGCCCCGACTCTGGCGGCTCGCCGGGCTCTGGTTGTGACTTGCTGCTGTTGCAGGTGAACGAGCGTTGGTGGTCGACGCAGGGCGACTTTAATGACCTGAAACGCGCAAGTGTGGGCGGTCTGGTCGTGCGCTTTTTTGGGGGATTGGTCATAATGGTGCCCCATTAACCAAAAAACGTGGTGTTTTTTTTCAAAACCTGGATGGAGTTCATCGAGGCAACACTACAAATGTTTCGAGTTCAACATACGACTGCACAAAATAAAATGATCCCAGGATAAAATAAAAATGCGTTTTTGCAACCAGATGATGAAATGTGTAAACAAAACTAATACGATTTTACGAGTTTACCCAGGAGCAGCGTTTCCTGTACGTCATTTCTCATCACCCGCCTGTCGGTGCAGCTGTCTGTTTACCAATCGAACTCCAAATACAAATTTAGTAATTATTGGAGCTCCGTGCACGATGGCTGCAACTTCCCGTGTGACCGAGAGAGCGCTGATATTAAAAAATAGATCTTAAGCGAGTCGCACAAGTAACTTGCAGACCATTCGCTAAACCTTGCCATTTTAATGAGCGTTCTCTATCGTGCGTGTCGAAATCGGGCGCGTGCAGTATGTAACTACTATTTGAATATGGAGAAATTGGGTGGGTGTTTTGTGGCGCTTGTAAGCTCTGTGCGTGTGGGGGGGGGGGGGGGGAATTCCCTGTTCTTGCGCTGCCCAGAAATCTTCTCTCCAAGCTGGGGATGGTGGGTTTTGTCCTTCGTGTCTGCCTGCAGAAGTTGTGTGGACGATACTAATACAACCTGCATCGAAACACGGGGGGGGGGGGGGGCAAGAAT